GAGAGCAGAGCAGGTGCCAGCCCAAACCGAGCAGCAACAGTGTGTTTGAGGGGAAAACCCAAAGCCGGAGTCAGAAGACAGGTCCAGGTTCAGAAGCCGGTAGAATCCAGGAATCAGTCCAGAACCGATCAAGCAAACAGAGCAGACAGGGGCAAGGCAAATCTCGGGATCCACGAGGCAGAAACAGGTCACAATTAGGAAAACAGAACAGACTTCAGAATGCTCAAATAACCTGGCGCTGATGGAAGGAAAGCACACAACATTAATACCAGAGGAACCTGGTGGAAATGATTAGCATTTAGCAGCCGCAGAACCAATTAGACAGGGGAGCAAGGAGCAAAGGAACAGAACCGAACCATCAGCGCCAAGATCATGACACCATAAGCGATTTCCATCTTTCTAGGTCCTCTTCTATCTTTTTTAAAAGCAGGATGTGGTTACGTTTTGGTAAATCAGCTAATTTAGATGATAAAATAATTCCAAAATATTTGATATTTCCTGATTGCAGTTGTAAACCTAGGGGATTCTGTAGAGAGCAATTAATTGTTATAGATGAGTATAAATTAAATTACAGGTTATTAATAATTCAATGGTGTGCTTAAGATCCAGAGTTTAGGGCTAACGTAATAGATAAATGAATTCAATCATGGATTTTGAAAGGGATAACGACGTACTATTCTCTTGCAGAAAAGGGACAACTTAAAAGCTTTGATAGGTTGAAGGAAGACCAGGCCGAACTGAATTTTCTAGGTTCATCCAGGTGGTAGTCATATTGAACATATCAGAAAGGGCGTCAACTCCAGAATTTATAAAGGCCTATTGTCTACTGTACAAAGTCCCCCAATACAGATTATGTTAGGAAAAAGTGGGAGAGGGAGGGTAACCTGATAATAACTGAGGAGGATTGGCTTGGCATTTCCCAATCCCAGTGGAAATGCACCAGCTCTCATTCATGGCGAGTTTGGTCGGAAGGCTTTGATCCGTTTCTTTATTTCACCAAAACAAAAGACACATTTTACTTGCGGGGAAGCGGGAGGCAATGTGGAGACCAGGAGGTCAATCATTGGCATAACTTTTGCGAATGCCCAGTGGTTAGATCCTTCTGGGCAGAGTTTCGTAAGGTACTAAGGATGCACTTTCCATTTTTCAACATTATTTTTAGGAAATTTTGATTTACAGGTCAGGAAAGCTAATGAATATCTAATATCTATGCTAACTATGTGGGGGCAGTGATAGCCATGCTAACTGTGTAGGGTTAGTGATAGCCATGCTAACTATGTAGGGGCAGTGATAGCCATGCTAACAATGTAGGGGCAGTGATAGCCATGCTTACTATGTAGGGGCAGTGATAGCCATGCTAACTGTGTAGGGGTAGTGATAACCATGCTAACTATGTAGGGGCAGTGATAGCCATGCTTACTATGTAGGGGCCGTGATAGCCATGCTAACTGTGTAGGGGCAGTGATAGCCATGCTAACTATGTAGGGCAGTGATAGCCATGCTAACTGTGTAGGGGTAGTGATAGCCATGCTAACTATGTAGGGGCAGTGATAGCCATGCTAACTGTGTAGGGGTATTGATAACCATGCTAACTATGTAGGGGCAGTGATAGCCATGCTTACTATGTAGGGGCCGTGATAGCCATGCTAACTGTGTAGGGGCAGTGATAGCCATGCTAACTATGTAGGGCAGTGATAGCCATGCTAACTGTGTAGGGGTAGTGATAGCCATGCTAACTATGTAGGGGCAGTGATAGCCATGCTAACTATGTAGGGGCAGTGATAGCCATACTACCTATGTAGGGCAGTGATAGCCATGCTAACTATGCAGGGGCAGTTATAGCCATGCTAACTATGTAGGGCAGTGATGGCCATGCTAACTATGTAGGTGAAGTGATAGACATTCTAACTGTGTAGGGCAGTGATACCCTACTTACCATGTAGGGGCAGTGATAGTCATGCTACCTATGTAGGGCAGTGATAGCCATGCTAACTATGGAGGGGCAGTGATAGCCATGCTAACTATGTAGGGGCAGTGATAGCCATGCTTACTATGTAGGGGCAGTGATAGCCATGCTAACTATGTAGGGCAGTGATAGCCATACTAACCATGTAGGGGCAGTGATAGCCATGCTAACCATGTAGGGGAAGTGATAGCCATGCTACCTATATAGGGCAGTGATAGCCATGCTAACCATGTAGGGGCAGTGATAGCCATGCTAACTATGTAGGGGCAGTGATACGCATGCTAACTATGTAGGGGCAGTGATAGCCATGCTAACTATGTAGGGCAGTGATATCAATGCTAACTATGTAGGGGCAGTGATAGCAATGCTAACTGTGTAGGACAGTGATAGCCATGCTAACTATGTAGGGGCAGTGATAGCCATGCCAGTCCAGGTACTGTGTGCACTTCTATTGGAAGGTGCCTTGGTTAAGGTCAATGGAAAAACCAGACCATGCATATTGCTTTAGGTTAATCGGTCTCCGCCAAGTGACGTCAATTGTTTACCTCGGGCGCGGTACACTATGCCTTTTCCACTTAAAATGGCGTCTTAGCAACAAATGTCACGTGACTGGCGGAGACCGATTTTCCTAAATCCGCCCCTGTTTTCAGGCTTATGTTAACTGTAATGACTTATCTTGGACAGGCTGCTATGTAAACAGGCCTTTAGTCCTTCGTTTAGCTATGCTGCGGTTGTTTACACTACACCTTTTCCAACTAAAATGGCGTCTTAGCAACAAAAGTCACGTGACTGGCGGAGACCGATAGACTATTAATTAGCCTATGTATGCTTCCAAAAAAGTTAAAAAAAATAAAAACAACCCACTGGACTTTGTTTTTTAAGTTTGAAGACAAATCTCTTCCGAACCAGGAAGCTTTTTGCAAAAATATCAGAATTATCGTTGAGTTAGTTTTATAGAGTAGCCCAACAGTTTGTCTTGTCTTAGAAAACATCCAAATTGAATTGCTTGATTTTTGTTGTTTAGATATAAATAGATATGTAAAAATGAATGAAAGCATCACTGTCCCCTTTTCCTGTTATAATTTTCATGAAATGCATTTATTTTTATTTACAAGCTGGAAATGTCCCCAGATTGGAGTTCAGAAATCTGATCACCTTATCACACAGAGATCAGTAAGATCTTCAGTATTCCAAAAAAGTAAAGAAGAAAAACATTATTCTGTCTACTTTGGCAATTTTGGCTTTTTTCCTTCAATTTACCCCTTGCTAACATTTAAATTCATAGGAGTCTTTTCAGAAAAAAAGACACAGATTAACTACATAATTGACTAATAATGCCATGGCAATCCAGACCTACATTTCATTATATTAACCAAAATGTTGACATATTTAAAGACTTAGAAACGAAAACAATGAGAAATATTCAAAAATCTATGCACCCTTTCACCTGGCAACAAAACAGTATGCAATGAAATATTTTATTTGGATATAATTTATGAATTCCTTTTGGTAAAATTGAAAGGTTTAGCATCACCTTTTGTGAGCTGGAAAAAATTTAATTAAAATAATTAGACAAAAGAATTCTTTATGCTATTTTTACCCCATCATCAGAAACATATAGTTTATTACCGATAGCAAGAACAGCCATACTGCTGAAAGCAAACCATCAGTGTGACCATCACTCTGAGCTAATCAGTGCATTTTTTTTTTTTCAGGGTAATATAAACATATTGATTATATATATCTATCTATATATATATATATATATTAGGGGTGGAACGGTTCACAAAATCCACAGTTCGGTTCGCGGTTTTCGGTTCGGTTCTGTATATGTTTATTGTTACACCGAAAAATAAAAAAAATGAATAAAAATTATAAAAATTTATGAATTTTTTTAAATGAAATTAATGAAAAAATCAAAAAAAATAATGAATTGTAATTATTTTTAATGATTCGCGGAAACCATGGATCATTTCTGCATGTTTTTCTGCTTTGAATTTAATCATCTCGCGCATGCCCTCTACCATCTCCAAGGAACTCAGAGCGGAGCGGACGGGAGCCACAGTGGAGGCTGTGTGCTTTGCTTTGTGCAGGCGGTCTGGAGCGCTGATGGAGTATGTGGGATTTCGGGGTTAGCATGACATGTTGCACAATGCTTGCACACTGTTGCACTTTTATCCACAACTTTCTTTCCGCCGTCATCGTACGTCGCTCTAAATGCAAAGTGGTCCCATACAGCAGACCGATGAAGTGCTGCTGGCGCGTCTTCCAACTCCTGTTCTTTCCCACTCGCCATACCCACACAATTCTCCACAACAACTGATTTTTTCTGCTACATCCGGCTACACTGCTTCACTTCTTCTTCTTCTTGTTTACTACTGGTGGTTGGTTTGGTCGCAGTACCGCCACCTTCTGCTCTGGAGTGTAAACGCTTCACCTATGAGAAAATGGAGCCGCGCATGAACCGAACGCAACACACGCGAACCGAACCGAGACAGTAGAACCGAACGTTTCAGCAAGTTTTCATAAAACGTTCCATCCCTAATATATATATATATATATATATATATATATATATATATATATATATATATATATATATATATATATATATATATATATATATATATATATATATATGCCTCTCGGAGATCACATGCCACACCCATGTTTCTTTCTTTAAAAGTTTTCCTTTCTTCAAATATGTGGTTGGAAAAAAGAGATCTATCAGTTTCTTTAATCATCAAACTAGCTTTTAACACACTGCCTAACCTGGAGGTGCTGGGTCAGTTATTTGGAACTGTGTAGAAAAGGCCCACAAAACACCAGTCTGGGTCATGGAGGAGTCATATTAATTCTTGTGTTTATTTTTTACACATATCACGTTTTTAACTACAACAGTTTTACAGGCATTTCCACCTTATATTTGTAAGGATAGGAGAAGTTTTAAATGTAATTTTTTTGGTTGTTAAGCCAGAGAAATCATATTACCCTGTGTTGATGATCATTTTGGCAAATTGTTCCATCTTTTTAGGAGTCAGGAAGTACGGCAAAAACTTTCAGGCCATTGCTGATGTCATAGGTAACAAAACGGTGGGACAGGTGAAAAACTTCTTTGTGAACTACCGTCGTCGGTTCAACCTGGAGGAGGTACTGCTGGAGTGGGAGGCAGAGCAAGGAACTCGGCCTCAAAATGGAGAAACCACTTCAAGTGAAGAGGGAAAGAACAGTTCAACCACCCCTTCAACGAAGAGCACTGATGAGGAGGATGAAGAGGTGAGACCTTTGCATGTTCAGATTAGAGCCCTGTATTTCCCTATGTATTTTATAGTTTTTTGTGCATACTATCAAACCCAACAAACTTCACAATAATGATTCAAGCTATTTAAATCTTTTATAAGTTCCCTTAGATTCATTAATATCCTTTCAGGATCTTATATAGCCTCAAACTTGGAATTGTTTTATATAGGTTGTTGCTCTGCCTTATCTTATCTACAGGGTCAGGTTACTTCTTCAGGTGCGTCTCCTGCCACTGCCTCCTCTTGTTCTTCCATTCAAAATCCTGTGACCTCCAATGCTCCGTCCTCCTCTCTCCACCAGCCCCCACCACTCCTGAGGCCCTCTCTGCCAGCCACACCTTCACTACATCGCCAGCCACCGCCGCTCCAACAACAGGCTCGCTTTCTGCAACCTCGAACCACCCTACAGCAACCCCCACCTCTTATCCGTCCCTCCAACGCCATGCCACCACGCCTCAACCCTCGCCCTACTCCTGTAAACCTTGGCAATAACACTGTGGATCCAGCCCAGAGCTCCAACCAGCAGCCGTGCGGCCTGTCAGACACAGCTTCATCCTCTTCTCTCCAATAACTTCAGATGTCTTAGAGTCAACTTCTCAGTGAGTGGAGGTGTACAACATCAATCATAATAGCACTGACATTTTAATTGTACCAAAATACTGTATTACAAAAAAGTTAAAAAACATCATTCAGACATTGTTGTTTTATTTCCAATATTGGAATCTGAAGTGAAATGTCTTTTCCACTGATCTTGAATGCAGCCTCTGTTTGATTATTGTGACATGGTTTGATTCAATTCAATTAAGTTTACTCATATACCGGTAGTCACAACACAGCCTTCACACAAAGACAATTCTGCTATAAAGTGACAGATCATACAGTCAGATTGGTAAAAAGTTTTCTGGCCAATGAAAACCAGCTGAACGCCTTGAGTCATTGACTTGCAGGACAGACTGGATATGCATGTGGCAACAGTAGATATCTGTTTTGATTTTGTTGCTGATTACACTGCCATCCCACAAACTAAGCAAGCATGTAGTGACAGCAGAGTGGAAAAATTCCCTCCTGCAATACCAGGCTCCTTCTGTTCAAGGAGACAAAAGCAGACATACAAAAGAATAGTAGAAGCACTGATACAGAAATACTGAACATGTTAAAAAAAGGTTATGGTAAATTAGCTCCATAAGGGGCTCTGTCTAGGAGTTTGAGCTCGGAGGCAGTTTTAATGTCAAAGGGATGAAAGAGAACACATACCTTTAGCCAGAGTTAAAGCTGAGCACATAGCTATGTCTAAGATTTAAAAAAGAGCTAAACAATGAAAAACAGGCCCAACTCTATCTTTAATCAAAGGTGTTGACTGCAGCAGCCAAGCTGATATTTACCTCCAGGACGACATCACTGCCAAAAAGGATCAGACGAGATAAAGCTACTTTGACTAGAAAAACAGATAGCATAAAGTTACAGGTTAAACTACTAAATACTAGTGCTAGATACTGCAGAATAGGGGATAAAGATTCAATTAAACGATTGAAAAGGGGTCCCTATGTCCTCCAATAGTCTAAGCCTATAGCAGCATAATTATGGAGATAGCTCTGGATAACCTGCGCCACTATAAATATAAACTTCAATCAAAAAGAAAGGTATTAAGCTTTGCCTTAAAAGTAGAAAGGGTGTTTGCCTCATTGATTAAAACTGGTAGTTCATTCCAAAGGACAGGAGCCAGATAACTAAAACCCTTGCTACCGTTCTACTAGTAAACCCACAATGATTTGTTTGAAACATATAGAACAATCAAATCTCTAATATAAGATGGAGCTTGGTTATGTACATGTACTTCTTTGAAACACTATGTGGGAGGGATCTGAATTTTTTATTTATGAATCAGGAAAAAGCCCAAGCATACATAGACCTATGGAAACTTATTGCAATCTAATAATTACGATCTCATAATTACAAGATAAGATCTCGTAACTACGAGATCAGTATCTGGTAATTAAGAGATCTTATCATAATAATGAGGAGATATCTCCTAATTAAAAGATCTTATCTATATATTTGGTTATTATTACTTAAGCCAGTAATGTAACATCTCTCAGAAAAGGGGTCTTCATGATTAATTCTTAAAAATATCTGCATCTGTTCCACTGAAAAGTTCTCTGTACCCAGGTCTGACCTGATTTGCATCGGAGTTGCGCTTCTGATTTCCACTTTATCATTAAAGTACCCAGGTATAACCCTTTGAATACTTCCTGTGGTACTGCAGCCATATGACCATATGCCAAAATCCTTTAACAGCTCCATTAATACAGATTCTGTATGGTTTTAGTTTTTCGTATGAATCAACATGCCACATGAAGTTGGGACCTGGGTTTCTGTAGAGACGTCGTCTTAGACAATTCTGAAGCCGCAGCTGTACTACTTGACGAAGGATTTTTGACCAGGTATCGAACAGTTCCTTTGAACACCACTAAGCCAGCTTGAATGCATTTCAGATGAATTATTTATGGCCATAAAGTGTTCCATGCTGGTTTAAATGCTCCTGCAGGAACAGTTTGACTTCGAGCAACTCAGAGTAGAGTAGACTTTTTCGCCTAGAAAATCCTAGGTTAAGGTATATGCGCAATAGTGACAAACTAAAGCTAATTCCATCCACATCGAGGAAACTCAGTATTTCCCAGCAAAACCTAAAAGAAAATAAAAGCATATTAAATCCGACAATCCACATATTGTTCACGTTTCACGTAGCTTAGCTCAGCAATGCCATGACTGTCCTTCCTGATCTCCTAAATATGACATATTATGTCATATTTATGACATCTTGTTTCATAATTATGAGATAAGAGCTCATAACATTCAGGTCAGGATCTCATAATTAGGATATCAGAAACTCGTAATTATGAGATATTATCTCATAATTATTACATTTACCTTGTAATTTTGAGAAAAGATCTCAGAATTACAAGATACTGATCCCGTAATTATGAGATAAGCTGTCAGATGTTTTTTTCTTTGGTGAATGCAGTATGCTTATGTATAGACCAGTATTCATTCATCTCTATAGCTTGATAAGGAAATAACATCCTTATGTAACATCCACATAAGCCATGTAAAGAACATATAAAATGACCGATGGTAGGTGCTTTAGCCTTTCATTCTCAAACAAATCTGAAGTGCGTTTGCCTTAAGGTGTACACAGTGTTGCATACAAAATGGGCTCAATCATACAGTTGGAACTGGTCTTATCACCAATTACTGGCCAGTAATTTCCTCCGATGCATTTTTCCTATGTCTGTTTGGTGGTTTCATAAATATCTATGTTGACAAGAGCAATCAATCCAAATTTCTTATTTTATTAGAGGAGTCAACTTCATCCTATTTACGTTTTCCTGTTTGCAGAAAAGCTAACAAGCTTAAATGGAAATCTTGATAGATCCTGAAGATTATGATGAAGTGACGTGTCGTGAAAATGGTCAAACAAGTAGTAACATTGTTTAAGATTAAAGTTAAATAATTTTAGACTAGGTATTTATCAGATAAAACCTCTGAATGAAGGAATATATACTTCCTTCATACCAGACCTTCCCTTAACCTTGAGTTTTTTGTACATACTGTTGTATTGTTATAACCATTGGACACTGATATAAGATTTTGGCAGAAGTATAAAATGTTTTTTGTGTATGTGATTTTTTGTCTGTTAATTATTTATAATTTCTTTCTCTATTAAGGATCCTACTGAACAGTGGGTTAATCCCACTCTTAACTGTGTATTACATACTTGCTCATATGATTCGCAAATGAAATAAACATAAATCCCCCTGATGGAATTTATTTAGAACAATATCTCCAACATTTTGATTAATTTCTTTTATAAGTAGCATAATAAACATGTCTTATCTTTGTTTTGTAATTTGCTGACAAAGGATAGAAGAAGGTGGCTTGTGGTTAAAAAGTTAAGCTAACTACGCAGCCTTCTAAAATAGTTACAAGTACCTTTTTCAAACTCCTCAAACTGTCACTATTGGTCCTTAAGGAGGATCCTAAACCCCACATTGTTCTCTGGCCACTGCAAGCTGCCCATTGCTCCCTAAGGGATGAGTTAAATGTAGCAGAATAACATTTCTTTTATGTATATTTCCACCCTGTAGAGGATTGATTATTGAACATTAACTTTTAGCAAGATAGAATCAGTAGGATTCTATCAGTCCAAATAGACCTTTGCTACAGTCTGCTAAATCCATCAGTTACTGTACCAATCTTGAAAATGCTTAAGGTTAACTGAAATCCTGTGGATCTGTTTTTTTTTTTTTTTATAAAAAAAAAAGTAAAGTCAAACATTTTTTTTATGTAAGCAAAATGTTATTGTTGCTCTCTTTTATTTTTTTTTTATCATCCTCTCTTTTGTATGTATATACAAAGAAACTGGGAACCAATTTCTGTTTTGGACTTCATGTAATGTTATTATGGAAAAAATGCTTGTAATTAATTTTGTTTTTACACGTGTCACATATCACGTCTATATTTACTGGAATCATATAGAAGGTAATTTTTTTCATTATAAGTTTGACCTTTGCTGTAAAGCCACAAAATTTCCTCTTTCTGGAGTTGGAATTAATAGTTATCAATAAATATTTTGTATAAAGTTGTTTAATTCTTCATAAGATAGGTTTGCTTATTATGTTGAGGATCTTTCAGGTTGAACGGAGGCCACTTTGGCCTTCTTACCTTAAAGGGGAATGCCGGTTTTTTTACATTGGGCCCTTGATTTTACATTATTACATCATGTTCTACTCACCCATATTAGTTTTGTGCCATTTGGAGCTGTTCTGAAGATATTCCGTTAGGTTATATCTAAGTAACGTTTTCCTATGGGCAACAAGTTGAAGGCACAAACTAAACTCAGATTAGCTCGCCGAATGAATAGAAGGTGTAGAGCGTAGCCGGCTGTGGCCCGGGCTGCCTGTTACTTTTTTTTTTTTTATTATCAATAAACTTTATTGAACAAATGTACAAAACAAACAGGTTTTGTATTAAGGGACAGCACATCAGAGGGGGAGATATAAAGACTTGCACAAGAGTTACACAATAATTGAACTAGACAAGAAAAAAAAACATTAAAAGGAAAAATAATTTGAAACAGTCAATAAAGTCAATAAAATACAAATGACAAGTGTTAAATAATAATTAAAAAAAAGTTGTTAAATATAAGGAAGTGTTTTCTATAGTTATCAAGAAACATGTTCTTTTTATTTTTAATCAGTTTGAGGGATGCAATCAGAGAGTTCAACTCTAAGAGAAAGTGAGTAATGTTAGGAATCGAGTTTGCACATTTTTGTTTGTAAATGAAAAATTTTGCATATAGGATAATAAAATGAGGCATATGTTCAAAGTCACGATGTTCAGAGTTATAGTAATAGCAGATAACATCTTTGAGAGTTAGTGTGCATACAATTTTAGTTGAATGGAAAAAAAAAAGATTCAATGTCACTCCAAAATTTTTGGGATTCATCACAACTAAAAAATAAATGCAAAGTCGTTTCTGAAGTTCTTTTACAAAACGTACATGAGTCACTTATGTCCATAAATCTAGCAATAATACAGTTTACAGGGTATATATTATGTAAGATTTTAAAATGTATTTCTTTGGCTTTGTTAGAAATAGAGTATTTATGAGGTAAGAGCCAGGCTCTTCTCCAGTTTATGCTATCAGTATGGGTACGCCAATAAAATTTACCTCTAGGTGTGATAAAGTTCTGTCTGTTAGGTTAATTCCTTCCAATATGAGAGTGGGTAGAGTTTTCGTAAATTTACAGTAACTCAAGTGACTTTTTACAAGTTGAAATATCTTTTTAGGGATGGCATTAATTATCTTGTTAAATTCTCTGAAGGGAACAGGAAAACTATAGAAGGACATGAAGCACTCATAAGAAAGCATATTGCCAGTACAGTCAAAGATTAAGGATGTGATTGATATCTCTTTTAAACCAATTTATGAAGAATAAGGACTTGTTTTTAATCAAAACATCACAATTATTCAAGATGATAGATTTGTGAGGTGAAAAGTTGTGGACAAAAGCCAGCTTCCAAGCTAGAAGGGCTTGCTGGTGAAATTTGGACAATTTGATGGGTAATTTGTTAGGTAAAAACTTACATTTCAGAAGGAAAGACAGACCTCCTATCTTATTAAAAATATGACTTGGGATGAAGAACCAGATTGATTCAGGGTTTATAAGACATTTTTTAACCAGTTGACCTTAAAAGTGTTGATGTTTGATAGTACACCTTTTTTAAGTTTGTGTGATTTGTTTTTTCAAATGAAGTTTAGAAACATTTTGTTAACTTCTGTAGCTGTCAAATCGTTAACAAAAAGAGATAAGGAAGGATATACGAAGCGAGAGAGGCCTTCTGCCTTAGATAGAAGAACTCTGCCAAGGACAGACAAGTCTCTTTGAAGCCAAGAATTACAAATGGATTTAGTTTTTATCATTCTGTTTGAGAAGTTTAAATGCTGTCTGGCAGTAAGATTTTTAGTAATGAATATGCCTAAATATTTTACTGTTTCCTTAACTGGGATATCATAAATCAAAACATCATTGCAGTTATGTAGAGGTAGAATTTCACATTTGGTTAGATTCATTGGAGAATTGGTCAACCAGATTAATGGAGTTGGGTAAATGGTATTTATCTTTTAAAAAAAAAGTTGTATCATCAGCAAGTTGTGAGATTTTTCATTCTCTACCGAAAATAGAAATGCTCTCAAATTTCTTATCATTAACTATGTGAATTGACAATAATTCAACAACTAAAATAATTAAAAAGGGTGAAATGGGGCAGCCTTGAGGAACACCTCTGTTAATTTGGAATCTTTTAGATGTATTCATATTAATTATCACAGAGCTGTTAATATCTCTGTAAAACATACAAACAATGTCAATAAATAATCGTCCAAATCCAAATGCTTCAAGGGAGTGAAAAAGAAAATTATGCTCAATTGTATCAAAGGCTTTATAGAAGTCTAGAAACAATATAAGTGCATCAGAATTAATTTCGTGTGGATAGTCAATTAAGTCCAAAATCAATCTAATGTTATTGTGATGGCTGCAACTACAGCCACCCAAATGTGGTAACATTCAATCACAACACACACTAAGTAAGCAAGTCTCATTTCATTTATATTGGGATTTCTTTACATTTAGGATTTAATTTACAGAATTTTTGTAAATCATAACACTGTATTCTAGAATAAGTGTGCACATTTTAGTTTACACTGTTATGTTCTGCTTGATTTAATCTTTGTTTGTTTTTTTGAGTCACCTCAGTGCTGGCTGCTCCAGTCCTTCAGGAGAACAGAGATGGAGAAGGGGTGGAGCCAGCCCATTGAAGCTGCAAATTGGTTTACACCACTTCTCATCAGCAAGAGGGGGGGAATGAGATTTTCCTCTGTTAATTTCAGTTAGGTTTTTGTGTTTCCCCCTTTGTATCTTCTATGTGGCCGGATCAGCCAGTATTTAAGTTTTCCCTTTGTCTCATGTAGCAGGTCTGTTTTATTCAGTAGTTTTTTTTGTTAGCCTGAGTTAAATTCTGTTACTTTGACCTCTTTTATGTGCCCAACTTTGTAATTTGTCCTTTTTTGACCCAGTTTTTTTTTGTTTTGGGTTCAATAAAAAGAAGACTTTTTTTTGGATCTGAACCTGTGCCTGATCTTCCTTTGACTGCTCAGACCATCACAACAATCCAGCCCTTTCTTTAGTCTATTGGCATATGTTAAGGTTTAAATTTTGTAATCTATTGTTAAAAGAGTTATAGGGCCCCAATTTTCAATTATTAGGGGTCTTTCCCAGGTTTAGGGATGAGAGATATGATACCTTGCTTCATTGTAGGGGACATCTCTCCATGATTAATGCATTCCTAATCATGTACATATGAAATAATGGGACTTGGATGATTTCCCAAAAATTATTGTAAAATTCTACAAATAAGCCATCAATGCCTGGCGATTTGCCCTCTTTCATTGAAAACAGAGCATTTTGGATTTCTACAATTGTGAGATCAGAATCACAGACAGATTTAAAGTCACTCTCAATAGAGGGTACATGAAGATGAATATTTAGCAAAAAGTTATCACATTTCTCTGCATTGAAATTAGATTGATAGAGCTTTCCATAAAAATCAGAGATTAATTTATTGATTAAACTTGAATTTTTAGATAGCGATCCATTAATATTAAGAGCTGTTAAAGGGATAGTTCGGTATTTTTGACATGAATCTGTATGGCATCCCCATCACCAGTGGCATGCAATCACACTGACTTACCCCTGGCAGCGTCCTGTGAGCAGAGTTATCGTCCAGTTTTGGTCAAGCCGAAAGTAGTCCGGCAGGTTTTTAGGACCAGCGAAATAAAACTTTTCTCTTCCCAAAACATTATGTGTTCAAAAGAGTGATATTTTTGCATCCCAAAAACATTGTAGTGGAAAAAGTCACACGTCGTTATCAATTGGTCCTATTTTCTCTCTGTTCGTATCAGTGCGCGCCGTCATTCAGACAGCGAGCTCAACAACAGCCAGATGCATGTCTCCCTCCGCCTAGCTCCTAGCTATCCCTTTAAGGATTTTCTTTTAGCATTTCTTTTCTCCAGAGCAAAAAAAAAACTAGTATTCTTTTCACCCTCCTCTAGCCACTTGGCTCTAGATCTAATGAAGGAACCCTTTTCCAAATCTAAGTAAAATTAATCTAGTTTCAATTGGATATTTTTTATTTCAAGTTCTTCCTCTGAGGTGAGTTGTTTTTTTGTCATCAAGCAGTCAAGCTTGTGTATTAAGTCAGTCTCTAGCTTGAGCTTTTCATTCTTTAATTCTTTACTTTTAATAGCAGCAAACCTGGCTTTATATTTGAATAATTCCCATTTCTTCCTGTATTGTTCATTTATTCCATTATTGAAAATTTCTTTTACGAGGTTTTGGATTGTGTTATTGAACAATGTGTCTTTTAAAAGAGAATTGTTGAATTTCCAGTAACCTCTTATACCGGAGGTCCTCTGGATTGTAGCCAATTTCAAATCAATCAGTTTATGATCAGAAAAAGGGGCGTTAAGATGGTTAATATCCTTTACATATTGTAGGGAAGAGGATGATATCAAAAATAAATCAATAGTTGATTTTAGGGATTGATTATTATTACACCACGTATATCCTTCACTAGAGGGGTTAAAAAAACGCCAAACATCAGTCAAGGAAAGGCTAGAACATAGTGAAGAGATAAGATTATTTTGTACATTAATATTCTGTTTGGGTGGGTATCTATCAATTGATTCGTTCGGACATACAGTACATTAAAGTCACCGCATAAATTTATAGTTGAGCTTTGGTATTTATTCAGTAACTCTTTCAATTTTAGTATTATTTGGTTGAGTAATATCTTGTTTGAAACGTGTGAATTAAATCCATATAAATTGCAAACAATAAAGGTGGCATTGTCTTGTTTAATTATTAATGTTATACATCTACCATTTTCAGAAGGCACTGTTTCTAAAATGTCCCCTTTAATTTTATGTAATAGTATTAATACTCCTGCTGAGTGATTAGTCCCATGACTGAAGTAAACTGTATTACTCCATTGTGACTTCCAGAATTTTGTATCCAGTTCACAGGAGTGAGTTTCTTGGAGTAGTATTAAATCTGATTCCATTCTTTTGCAGAACAAAAAGATTGCTTTTCTTTTACTTATGTCCCTAATACCTCTGACCAAGGGCGTAGGAATATGTTTACAATTGGGGGGGACACATGTCGGAAATCTGAGATTCGTAAATATTCAACAGAAACATGTCTTAAGTACGCTACTTTAAAAAAAGGCTATTTAATCTTTTACTTTATTCCTTTATAAATGTGTCTTGCAAAAATAATGCATTTAAAATTTACATAATGCATTTGTTCATAAGATGTGAGCATATCACCAAACAAAATGACTGGAGTCTTTTATTAAGCAAAGGGAGATGTCTTTCAAGGGCTTCAGCCCTTGGCATATTTAGTGTCCGCATACGCACTAGAAAATCAAATATTTCAGTTGGATTAAAAACAATTCAGTAGGCCACAGAAGTGCAAAGTTT